TGCTCAGGGCAGAACAACGCCCTCTCGTGAAACTTCCTGGTAACCACAGTAACCGAATCAGTACCCTGCTTGAGGGTCAAGAACTCCTGAACCAACCGTTCCCTCTCCACAGGGGTAACATACTCATCTCTGAACATGGTGGTGAACCTCTCCCAGGTCACCACTGAAATCTCTGCAAGAGTAAAGCTCGCCGTCACGAACTTCCACCAATCCTTCGCTCCCAAGCGAAGCTGGTTCAACACGAACCGTACCCTCAGATGCTCCGAACATGAACACGTGTAGAAGCATCCCTCGATATCAGAAATCCATCTCATCGCAGCGATCGGATCCTGCGTCCCGTCAAACTCTGGTGGCTTCGTGTTGTTGAACTCCCGAAGCAACAACGAGTCACCTCCCTAAGGTCTGGCAGCAGCCACTGCTGCAGTAGCCGCAGCCTCAGTCACTGCTGCGTACCGCTCATCAAAAGTCTCAATCAATGCGGTCTTGATAGACCCAAACATCTCCGGAATCTCGGCCCGAATCGCCGCCGCCATCTCATCGTGGATCATCTGACGAAGCTCCTCGTCACTCACGCCGCTCGGCTCAGGTCTGTGGCGTGTCCCAACCATAATGCCTCTGAAATACAACATAATAATATCAGAGACTTGCTCGAGCGTACTCGCACTCGATAACTCAACCCTACTTGTTCTCTAGTACCCAAAGGATTCTTACTAAGAGTGCGCACTGCTCCGGTGTCTTCAGTAGTGCGGGCCCTATACTACCGTGCACACCGCATCAGTATTCACCCTAAGTCCTCCTCCTTGGATCCTAGATCACAAGTACTCTATATCTTACTGGCATAGGCTACCCTTCGGTAGACCTCTCTTCATCTCCTCACTGCTACCTACTCGCTTTCAAGCATCACATAGCAGCAAAATCCTTCCTAGGCTAAGGCATCACAAATCAGGCCACTCTAGTCCTAATATGAATACCTAGCCTACTCTAGCATGCAGATCATATCATAACATATCTCATAACACATAATGTAAGGGTATTTTGGGAAATCACCGTTCAGGCGCTGGCTGATCGTACACACTGCTTCCTTCTGCCTTTTTCAAAATCTTTTACTCTTTTAGAAAAATTGTTTATTTTATGAAAAACTTTCTCAATTCCTCAGTTTGAGTTCAGATTCATCCGAAGATGCACCTGAATCCCTCAAACCAAGGCTCTGATACCAACTTGTAACGACGTAATTTTTCAAACAATTTTTCATTTTTTTTTATCATACTTTCAATCACACGATAATCATAAAACATAATGTATTCACTGTGTCATAACAAAACATGTCCCAGAATCTCAATAACATAAACTACGTAAGTGTGTACGAATCATGCCGGCGCCTTCCCGCGATCCTCGCTAGTACCTGAAACACATATCATAACAACTGTAAGCATAAATGCTTAGTGAGTTCCCCAAAATACCACATACCACACATACGCCTTTCCAGGCCATAACTCTGTAGGATCTTCCGATCCATGTGTCTCAGGGACTTCCGTCCCAAATCCCGGTAGACCTTCCGGTCCTACCCGTATCGACCTTCCGGTCCGTAACCTCTTGACCTTCCGGTCCATATCATCTTGACCTTTCGGTCCATACCATACATAACATACATAGCACATACATATCGCATAACCGCATATAGCACATACATCTCATAGCATACAAGACCTTCCGGTCACACATATCACATAACCGCGTATAGCACATACATCATAGCATACAAGACCTTCCGGTCACACATAGGTACCCTTCCAGGTACAGTATAGTGAGAAGACTCACCTCGGGTAACTCGGTAATCTCGAACTCGGTAAAATCTGCTCTAGCCTCCGCCTAATCACATGGAATAAGCACTCTAATCAATACAACTCTCAAGGCTAGACTGTTCCCTCTCTTAGCACTCTCAGAAAGGTAAAAGACCATTTTACCCCTCTCATGGCTCAAAGACCCAATTGTTGACCAAACCCTAAAAGTCAACAAAAGTCAACTCTCCGGGTTACGCTGCGCGTACCGAACCTGTACGCTGGGCGTACCCGGCGACCTCACAGAAACGGGGTGCGCGACCCCTTACGCCGCGCGTACTGGGATTACGCCCAGCGTAACTCCCAGTTTCAGACTCCTTAGCTTTTGGGGTCTTAAACAGTTAAGACACACGTCCAACTCCCAGATCTGACTACCCCTTAGCCTCTTAATCCATAAAGTTGGTGACTTTAAGCCTTTGCATGGCTGTAAGAGTCACCAACACCCAAATCATTCCACTTCCAACACTTTAAAGCTCATAAGTCAAACATGACTCCCTAATGACGACCAAGTTGGGATTTTTATGGATCTACAACACATATATCACTGAAATGGGACAGATCTAGGTCCATGGAGTCCCTTATGCTCATAAAGTCTCCACCTTTGGGACTTTAACCCTAGAAATGGACCATGAAACACCAAACCAAAATAAAGAGGAAAGTTCTGAGCTTTTTACCTCTAAATGAAGCTCCTCCCTCTGAAGAACTCAGATCCAAACTTGCACTTCAACTTCTAGCCTCCACAAGAACCTCCTCTTCTTCTTCACTAACACACAAAGGCACTTTCTAGCTCAAGAACTCACACACACTAGCTTTAAGACGAAGGAAAATGCTCTCTTAGGGTTTCTCTCTTTGAAATGGTGGCTGAGGATAAGGCCATATCATTCCTTATATAGTGCACAAGTCTCATTTAGGGTTTGCATCTGGACCAGTTACGCCCAGCGTAACTTTGGTACGCCCAGCGTACCTTAAAGGGTCTGCGTCCATTTCAAGCGCATGAGTACGCGCAGCGTACTCATTTGCTACAATTTCCACTCAATGGGCTAATCTTGACAACTTGACAAAAGAGAAGGGTTAAATAGTTGTACCTGAATTTCGGGATGTTACAATATCAATGGTTACATAGTAGGTCACTTAATTGAGTTTGATCTTAAGGGAATTACACGGCCTCCTTGTCTTGCTAAGCGCATTTATAATGCATAGAACTCTATAGTTTGATAGACTGTGACATTAGAATTCCACTTTTTTATTTGTGGGAAAGTTGAGTAGGTATATGAGTAAGTACTCAACATTTGCTAGCAATATAACGAGTATTTATATAATCAAAGGGAACCATGAACCATGGTTTAATTTATCTTGGATATCCTTCATTTTTAATAGGATATTTTGATGCAAGTTGGATATACAACATGGACAATCATTGCTCTACAAGTGGTTAAATATTCTTGTGTAGGAGAGGAGTCATTTCTTGGGCATTTAGGAAACAAATCTGCATTACTAACTCAACTATGGAAGTTGAGTTTGTTGCGTTATTCCCTGCTAGTACACATGTGTGGATTTTATCGCCATGTATTCAAATGGGAATGGGTTGACAGCTCCAATCCTTATGACATCCCGATTCTCGGATATTTGGAAAATATAGAATACTATAGTGAACATTCAATTGATTCAATATTTTCATTTATGCATGATTTGAGTTGTTTATTTTGTTTGTATTAAGTAAAGAATTACATTAAAATAGGGGAGGGGAGGATTGTTGGTGATCACATGTCATTTTGAGTGTAATATGAATTTATACTAATTTCAAAAGGAACCAAAGTTAGTAATACAATTTAGGTGGTGAAAATGCACACTTGTATAAAAGCAAGCTTGATCATGAACACAGCGAATTATGTAGGGTCATAGGTGATGTAACCCCTTGCAAGGTCAAAGGGTCAGAGCCCCAAAACTTTTGAAGAATACCGAAGTTGTATATGTGAATACAAATAGAAGATAAACTCCAGTTTTGAAATTATTTCTAAAAAACACGCCATGGCGCCTCAAGGCGTGGTGTAGCCGTTACGAAAACGTCCAATACGGATTTAATAAGCGTGGCGCCCAAATAACGTGTCAAGGCGCGCCTTATCGCGATATGGCGCGAGTTTTTTTTTTCAAGGCGCGAGTTTTTTTTGTATTTTTTTTTTTTTTGATTTTTTTATCGGACCTAAAATAATTGAGTTTTTGTTAACTTTTTATATTAAATACTAATATAACACTTCTAAAAACTTGATATACTTATAAAAATCAATAATTATATGATTTATCTCTTTTAATATATATAAAATAGTCACGCCTTGAAAAACGTCATGGCTCGCCAAGGCTTGTCATGGCTTAACTTTTACCTTGCCGTCAAGCCACGCCTCACGTTATTTAGAACCTTGATATATAGAAAGTTCAGAAAAATTGATCATTTTTATGAATTATGGGGAATGAGAAGGAAGCATCATGTAGTTTAAATTATGTAGGATTAACATAATACGATATAGCTTTACAATTACTAAGTGAACATAAACCAATACATCTAGTAGCCAATCAGGAAACTTGCTACTAGTATATAATATCATCACAGAATTTACATTTAACACACATAAACTGATGCATATAATCAGCTGGCTTTAGTCCCACTCCAGTGTTTCCACTTGAAAGAAATCACAAACCATTTTCTGCAACAACTTCACAGGTATTAATCTGCATTTCCTTCCATCATATTTCATATCTCCACGTCAGCACCACATAAAACAAATACAAATATTCATAACAATCAAACAAAAGGAATACAAAATGTCACAATAATGAACAAAAACATGGTTACTATTTAATTACATTGTCCCCATCTCTAAATTCCCACATCAATATGCAAGAAAAGCAATGTACTTTTATTTTTTATAGCATCCTACTTTCATTTCCTATTCAAAAGTCTACCCACTTAAAGCATAGTCATCTAAATTCAGAGCAATTTTCAAACTACAAATGTCCTAATAAGAAACTAAAATTGAAAGTACAATGTTATAATTGGTTGGATTCTTCAAAAACTGAAAGTATAATGCTGTAAATAGAAATAAAAAGAAGATATAACTTGAAGTACCTTGCTATTTCTTGCATTTAGCCTTCAATTGTATGACCAAATTAGGCAAAACGAACCTGCCTCTCCCACCTAAGATCTTCAGAAAACTCCATGAACGCACCTCTGGGATCACCATTTGATAAAGACAAGTAGTACTGGGCAGTACCATCATCAACCTGCATGCTTCTCCTCAATGAGTCGATTATCCTTCTTTTTCCTTGCTCAGAGGTCACGTTATTCAACACACCAGTCACCCTTCTCTCAGGTTTACCTTCCAGATACAAAACTGCCACTTCCCTCTTAGCATGAGCATCCAATTCTATATAGCATGTGACATTGATGAGAAGGCTTGGCGAGCTTACAGGGATTAACAATCTGTCCCTCGAGTGTATCCCGTGGTCGCTCATCATGTTGTTCAAGCGTTTAATGTCCATAACCTACAGAAGAAACAGAGTTAATCATCACATCAACGAAGAACAAATAGATTGAAAATTCCGATTAGCATCATGTAACAATTCGACTGAGATAAAATCGGATTCCACACTACACATGGAGTGACAGATAAGAAACGGAGTGAATTTCCATTCTCAAATTACAATCAATTCTTCATCCCTGATTATCTATCACACATAGATTGAGGAACCTGATGAACAAATAGATTGAAAATTTAATAAGACAGACGCAGACAGGGATTGAGGAAAACCTGAACGGAGTACTTGACAGCGAGGCTAGCAACAGTGTCACTGCGAACCAACCGATGTGAAATAGCGAAACGGCTAAGTCTATTATCTCTCCAGAAGCTACCGGAGCTAGGATTCCCGATCACGCCCTTCAGTTTCCACGGCGCCTTGAAAGCCCTAACCTGAATCTCTCGATCAGAAGCTACTGAACTCCACAACCTGCATACACACGCCGACCGTGCTAGATCTACCACCGGAAGCTTTTCGAAGATCGTACGCAGGATATCTTTACAAATTAAAGCCGCAAAATTGGAATTCATCGGAGATATGGTGGTATATGAGTCATCGCCGGTAATTGACGACGCCATGGAAGAGGATGAGGAGTGTAGGGTTGGGGTTTGTTGTTGTTGGAGTGGTTGGAGGATGTCTTCCTCTTCTTCACCACAGCATCCCATTTTTAGAGAGAGAAAGGAAATGTGTCAAGCAGAGAGTTATGGTTGGTTTACGTGGATAAAAACTTTACCATTAAGAATCTTGGGTAAAATACAAACGAGTCCCTTAACTACTGATTATTCCCATTTTGGTCCTTAATAAAAACATTATATTCTCAACCCTAAAATTAAATACCCATTTAGACAAACGTATAGAAAAATATAATAGTTGATGATGCAAACTCTAGTCACTAGGGATACCCTTTTTGAATTTAGAAGTTATGGACCAAGGATAATCTTGGCAAAAAGTTTAGGGTTTGCCTAACTTTCCGGTAAGTAGGTTTTAATATTTAAGTTAAATGTTTTTTTCGTCTAATTTTAATTGCAGTTTGAAGAATCTAAAGAAAAAAATATAATTTAAAAATGGATGGATGAAGAATCAAACAAGAAGGAAACATGAGATAGATGAAGGTAAAGCAAGCTTCTTTGACTAAAGATCGCAATTCTAGAAAATGAGTTGAATATTAACAAGATAAATACTTGTTTTTAGTTTTTGAGCTTTAAAAAGAACTAATCAACTTAATAGAAATTATTTATTCACACAAACTTTAAGAGGATTGAAGTCGACTAGCAGACTCGGGGCAAATGAACCTTTACAGTGCACATCAATGATTAGGAACTCTGGTTCATTGTGTTAGACGAGGTCTCAATTGTCTTTTCTTGTAAGATGGTTTGATCGTGAGTTAGAGAGATGGTTTGAATCTGACTTAAAGAAACGGACCTTAATTTTCACGTGAGCTTGGATAATATTTATCTAAGTATCTATTAGACAAATGTTATATATATTAGGCATTAATTACATGTTTATATTCTAGAGGGATTATAGTGTAAATATATCTATTATTAATACTTATGTAATCGTGACATTCTGAGAAGATATACAATTCACGTTTTACCAATTTAACTTGGTATCAGAGCCGCTATTCCCTAACCCTAAAATTGGCGCCACAGCAGCCCTCAAGATCATCAACCGCACTAGACAGCTACAATCATCCACATCAACCTGCACCTGTTTCTACTCTTTCTTCCTCTTTTCTCTTGTCGATCAGTACACATTGACATTAGCCAATACAATGGCGCCTCTCACAGCATTCACTACTGCAGAGAAAACAGCCCACAACTCTCATAAATTTGCCTTTACTTTGTCCCCAAACAACTATGGCTACTGGAAAACTATGTTACAGCCCTTTCTGGTTACAAACAACCTGTTCGGGTATGTTGATGGCACCATACAGTGCCCACCAGCCACCATCGACAAGCGATGAGTAATGCCGAGAGATGAGAAAAACTTAGAGAGGTTTCGAAATTCACCTCCCCAATCAGTTTGAACAGATTTTAGTTTGGTTTGAAATTGTCGTTCTACTGTAAGAAGAAACTGTTGGAAAGTACTAAAGACATCAGATTTGGATTTTAAGGGAAAAATCCACATAAAACTAGAAAAATGATCAACACATAGTAAGAAATATCGATGGTCTTCAAAAGAAGTAACAGGGGCTGGTCCCCAAACATCACAAAAGAGTAAATTTAAAATATGAGAACTTTTATAATTAGAAGATGATAGATGAAGTTTTGAAGATTTTCCAATAGAACAAGAATCACAAGGTGAATTGACAAAATTGTTTGATAAAGGTAAACTATATCTAGAAATCATTGACTTCAACAGTTGCGGATGGGGATGTCCAAGTCGTTGATGCCAAGTGACGGAAGAAGCACGAGTAGCGGAGAAAGCAACTTTAGACGAGGTAGACTGCAACTGCGGAAGGTGGAAGGAGTAAAGGCCGCCACTACTTGGACCCATGAGGAGGGTAGTGTGAGTATTCTTGTCCTCACACCGGTGAACAGAATGGCGTTGTTGAGCGTCGTCACCGTCATGTGGTCGAAACCGGCCTCACTCTTCTTGCTCAATCCGGTGTTCCACAACGGTTTTGGCATTATGCTTTTGACACAGCCGTCTATCTCATAAATCGTATGCCTTCTAGAACCAACTCCAATATCTCACCTTTCGAACATGTTTTCAAACACAAACCTGATTTTTCCTTTCTTCGTGTGTTTGGTTGTCGATGTTATCCACATCTCCGTCCGTATAACAAGCATAGAATGGATTTCAGATCTCTTCCGTGCATTTTTCTTGGATATAGCACCTCCCACCATGGTTATCGGTGCTTTAACCCTCTTTCCGAACGCCTTTATATCGCTCGTCATGTTCGTTTTCATGAAAAATTATTCCCTTACCAAATCAGCCCATCATCTCCACCCACATCTTCCTTTGATCCTTATACATCCTCTTATCCTAATCCTGTACCTGTACCTGACATATCAACTCCTTCCAATACATCCCCTACACCTCCTACGTCACCTAGACCATCTCCTTCCAATACATCCCCTCCACCTCCTATATCACCTACACCATCTCCTTTCAATACATCCCCTACACCTCCTACATCACCTACACCATCTCCCGCATCATCTTCTTCCCCTATATCTCCACATGAACCTCCTCTTCCGCCTCTCCTTTATACCTTTGCTCGACGCCCTAAAACTACCACCACCTCTCAACCAGAAAACACCACATCTCAACTAGCACATTCTACCTCCCAACCCGACAGTTCCTCCTCTCTACCTCGTCCTCGTCCCTCTAATTTGTGTCCTAATCCTAAACCCTCTCAACCATATAGTCTGGCCTCCTATCATACTACTACTGTTCCTACCGAACCAGCCACCTTTAACGTTGCTAACAAATCGCCTCAATGGCGTCAGGCCATGGCCGACGAGTATTCTGCTCTTCAGCGCAACAACACCTGGTCCTTAGTTCCTCCTCCATCGAATGCTAATGTTGTTGGTTGTAAATGGGTCTATAAGCTCAAACGTGATCCAACTGGGGCAATTACACGTTACAAAGCGCGTCTTGTTGCAAAAGGTTATCGTCAGCAACATGGTCTTGATTATCATGAGACTTTTAGTCCCGTTGTCAAAGCGACTACAATTCGGGTGGTTCTATCCTTGGCAGTCTCACACAGTTGGCCCTTACGACAACTTGATGTTCAAAATGCCTTCTTACATGGCGATCTCACAGAGACAGTCTACTTGCAACAACCACCGGGTTTTGTTGATCCGGACAAACCTGATCATGTTTGTCTTCTCCACAAGTCTCTCTATGGACTTAAGCAAGCTCCCCGAGCATGGTTTCATCGGTTGTCAACTGCACTTCATGCTCTTGGTTTTCGTGGATCTAAAACGGATCCTTCGCTGTTTATATACTCCTCTAACGGTGTTCTCTTGTATATGCTTGTTTATGTTGATGACATTATTCTCACAGGAAATAGTACCGCTGGTATCGACCGGGTTGTTCAGCATCTTAGTCGCATTTTTGCTCTACAAGATTTGGGGTCGTTATCTTATTTTTTGGGGGTTGAAATTATTAAGCAGGGGTCCGACATTGTTTTGTCTCAAAGAAAATACATACTCGAGCTACTTGAACGTGCGAATTTGTCTAATGCCAAATCTGTGCCATCTCCGATTACTACCACCGCCAATCTTGCCCTTGGCGACAGTCCACCATTTGAAGACCCGGTTAAATATCGTCAAACAGTTGGTGCACTTCAATATGTGACTCTTTCACGGCCGGATATTTCGTTTGCGGTAAACAAAGTGTGTCAATTTATGCACTCTCCGACTCAGAATCATTGGTCTGCGGTTAAATGCATTTTGCGTTACTTACTTGGCACAGTAACAATTGGACTTTTATTTCAGCGCAATTCCGATAGTGTTCTTCATGCTTACACAGATTCCACTTTTAATGTCTTGAATGCTTTCTCTGATTCTGACTGGGCTGGTTGTCCGGATGATCGTCGATCCACTGGGGGATATGCTATATATCTCGGTTGTAATCTTGTCTCATGGTCTGCTAGGAAACAAAAGACTGTCTCGCGATCATCAACAGAATCCGAGTACAAAGCCTTAGCCGATACAGTTGCTGAACTCACATGGCTTCAAACTCTTCTACAGGAACTACGATTTTCTACTCGTACTGTTCCAGTTCTATGGTGTGATAATCTTGGTGCTACATACCTATCTGCTAATCCTGTCTTTCATGCTCGTACCAAACATGTTGAAGTTGACTTTCATTTTGTTAGAGAAAAGGTTGCTCAAAAACAACTCCTGGTTCAGTTCATCAAAACAGATGACCAGATTGCAGATGTGTTCACTAAACCACTGCCTTCTCAACGTTTTCAGTTCTTGCGGTCCAAGCTAAGAGTCGCTCCCCGACCTTAGCTTGCGGGGGAATATTAGACAAATGTTATATATATTAGGCATTAATTACATGTTTATATTCTAGAGGGATCATAGTGTAAATATATCTATTATTAATACTTATGTAATCGTGACATTCTGAGAAGATATACAATTCACGTTTTACCAATTTAACTGTATCAATAAGTTGAGCTGTTAAAATTATACTAGATGTGTATGTAATAAGACCTAATGCCCATATAAGTTTGTTTTTTGCAATATTACCGTCTAAACCTCTTATTCTTGGTAAAACTGTTGATTTTGAACAATTTTGAGACTTTAATGGTATAATAAGCCAAAAAATAATGTTTTTTTAACAAACCTAAAACTATCTTATTCTAGCTAAAACTGTTGATTTTTGAAAATAGTGAAGATAGCAACTACGGCTATATGATGTTTATGAACAGTACCAAAATTAATTTGATCACCGAAGAAAACATTTCATCTTACATATTTACCGATAAATAATTTTGTAGTTGTTAAACATAGTAAACTTTCAAATTTGTGAATATAAACAAAACTAGGCTATTGTTGGTGATTTGTTATCATCAAAGTTTTTTTTAAGTATAATAGGATTAATTTGTTAACCAAAAGTGATCTTCATAAATATTAAACAAGTAAGGGATGTGTGGAGTGTATACTTGTTGAAGTTTGATCAAGTTTCAAAGTACACTGTCATTTTAGGGGCGAAGCCCCTGAACGAACGGGGGTCCGGTGGCAGCGCTCATGGGAGCAAGGTCCAAGGGGCGGCAGCCCCTGGCGGGGTCCTAGGGGCAGAGGCCCTGGTTGGGGTCGAGCTGCCAGGTCAGTGCGGGAATCTTTTATATAGGTTATGTTGCTATATTAAAAATGCATAAGAAATTCGGTTTTTCAGGGAATTGATCATTGGTTTGACCCTTATCCAAATACTCGTTTTTATGTCAGTTTTGGTAGTTTTATGACAGTTTGAAACTGTCATATGACAGTTTTCAGACAGAGACCATAAATCGGTTTTCGATCTTATTTTTCTGGTACATTCGAAATTCATAACAATCATTCTCTGTTTTTGCTCTCATATTTTGAGTCTTATCCGATTAAAGATTGGGAGTACCACCCAAATACTTTAATCTAAAAAGTGATATCACGATTCTCAAAATTTCCAAGCATTTCTATACCCCAAATTTCTAATAGTTATAACCCGTGGAATCTACGGTTGACAAAATAAAATAAACATATAAAATATAAAAATAGTAATTATTAACAAAATGTGATTTTTATATAGAGTATGATTATCATAACTACTTTAATTTGATATGATAATGTTGTACAATTAAATAGAAAACAAGGGCAACTCAATGAGTTTGGGGGCTCTAAGCCAACCAAAAATTTAGAGCCTTTTGGTCTATACTATACTTCAATTCTATAATAAAAACAAATATAAAAGTGAAGGTTGATTTTTTTGCTATTTAAACTTGCATACTTGCAGAGATTTAATTAAATGGAGAACTCAAACTTATAGGATTATTTTTAACTCAAATATGCACAACTCAACATAGAAATCAAATTAACAAGCCACATACATAGAAAACGATCAATAACCAACATTCTTTAGCTTCAAGTTACATAAACAAAGGAACAAAGAAATCGAAAATCACTAACTCAAACTTCCAGTGTTTTAATTAAAAGGACAACATTCCTTAGCTTCAAGCAACAAGCCAACAACGCAAAATACAAGTGGAAACACTAACTCAAAAATCAAAAATCAATGAGAAACAAAGAAATCGAGCATTAATCAATAAACAAAAAACAATGGAAAATCAGATAATGGAAAAAATTAACCATAATCAGCTATTAATCCTAATAGATAATCAGATGATGAAAAAATCAAGTGAAAACACTGCACTTACCTTGAATCAATGAATCATCAGAGATTTTTGAACAATGAAGAATCAGAGAAGCCGAGAATGGAGAAGGAAAAAATTACAGCGGTTCAGGCAGCCTTTCAGTGTTCAAGAATCGAGATTGTAGAAGCTCATAGATAATAAATATTCAGAGTGCAAGAATGGAGAAGGAAGGAAGAAGAATAGAAGTGTGATTGTCGCTTTTAATTTGAGGCGTCAGGCGTGCAGATGAGCGAAAGGAGGTGTGCATGTCAACGAACGGAAAAGAAGGTATCGACAATCGACATTAAAGGATTTGGGTAAGCATGGCCCTTTACAAAATGGGGCCCTAAACCCTAACTTAACTTTATAATACTAAAGTCTGCCCTGATAGAAAATTAAATAAAGTGGAAAAACAAATACAATCAATCATGAAAATAATATTATTTTATTAAAAATTAAAATATAGTATAATTTAAAAACCAAAGACAATTATGAAAATAATGTTCGTTTATATAAAATAAAAAAGTAATATAATAATATAAAAGATTTGAAACTTTTTAGATATAACATGCATCTCTTTGTCAAGTGATTTCATATCATTTATATGTGAACGTTTAAGTATGAATTTTTTTAACCCAACTATTGTTGAGTTTTTTCAGAAAGATTGTTACTTACGGATATGTTACTTAATATTTTGTAATATATTAATTATTTATATTTGTGCTAATAATAAACTGATATGTTACTTAATATACTTAAAGATTAAAATAAACGACATATATTTCATATTAGTTCTGTTTGAAATAGATCTATGTACATAAAAGTGGAATAAGATTATATAAGCTAAAAATGACCTACAAATAACTAACGAAAATGTTCATGTTACAATGACATATCTTCATATGTTGTGTTGTCGAGTCGGCATACAATTGAACAAAAAAATTGAAAGGATTAAAAATTTGGAAGGAAATCCGAAAGAATTAAGATTTATTACACGTTTGGTGGTGGACAAACAACAATGAAATTCAATTCCTTTAATTTGTTATATCATGTTTGCTTTACCATCCTGTCAAAAAGAATTAGAGTCAAACTTATCTCAAATGACCGACACTTATTTTTATCCTTTTAAGCTATTTTTAAAATCTATATTAACATATAAATGCATAGCCTAATTTCATAAACATCTATAATAAAGTAATATGACTCTAAAAATCAAAGCATGTGAGTGAGGTAACTGAAATAATTAGTGTCTAATTTAAAGGGATTGACATAGTAAATCAAATTGTATTCAAAATGAAAATCTATGACGGATATTCAACCAGATTTATTGCCTAAAATCCATTAAAATCAAATTAGTAGATAATCAATTTTTTATATTATTTGACAAGTAATAAATGATTAGAGAATAACTTTCTTGATTTTTTATAATAACATAACATTTTTTAATAATTAATTGGTTATTTTAGGGGAAGAAAAAAAATCATTTCCTTATTTTAATAGAATTACCAATTACCATTTATAATAACTATAATCAGAAATTTTCAAATTTTTATAGGAAAAGTTACATGGCTGAAAAATTAATAGAAGAGACTTTATAAGAATGTCCATCATAACTATTTTTTTACTGAATGTAAGACTCATGTATTACATGAGTTAATTAAAAAAATTAAATATAAAGGTCTAAATATTTAAGAACTTTTGGATTTATATAAAATAAGAAAAATAATAAATTATTAAAATTAATTTTTTTATCTTTTAAATTTAAATAAATAAACAAAATAAACTAATCGACTTTAATTTGGGAATTTTAAAATAAGAATGTAAGTTCATTAATGAAATTGATATTCATTTATTACTACATTTATTGTAATTATTACATTAAAGTATTATGTGAAATTTATTAAAATAGTAAAACCATAAAATGATATGTAGAAAAAAAAAAATTCAAAACCACAAAATGACATTTGACAAATTGAATGAAAGTGTGACATATGGCAAAAAAAAACATTCATTCATTAGAGTAGATTAGAATAGACAGGTAGATATTTTTCCTCCATCGATCTACTCTGATTTTGTTTGTTTCTAAGAGAGGATTTCTTTCATCTTCTAGCAAATCTCCTATTAATATCAACACAAATAACAAACACTGAAATACCACACCTATGCATGACGTCATCAATTCATGGCTCAGGAAAAAAAGACATAAAACTGGAGAAATCTATATAGAAGTGCAAAACATCTACAATTGGATTTATCAAATTCAAAATGTAAATATAAAATCATAATATTCCAAAAAAAGAAGTATGAATCTTGGATTAGATTAGTCCCTAGCCTAAAACTCCCGGCATACAAGCTAAAACCTTGACTAGTTACATGGTCCCACAAAAAACATGCCGATGCCAGTTTCAAAAGTTGAGTAATAAATGCAAAGAAAAGTGATCTGTTTATAATTAATTTATTATAGTTCTTCTTTCTGTGATGATGTTTCATCGTTGTTGGTTTTTCCCGAGAAAATCGAACCGAATATTTCGGTTATTTTACTCGTATATGACTTACATTCCGGCTCTTGCACCTTTGCGTTGCATAGGTCATCATAACTGTGCTTCAAATGTGGCGCTGCTATTTTCTCCTGTTGGGACAAAATTAAAAACATACAAATATTCAAATGTGGCTGGCTCTATTTAGGACAAAACAAGTGTTTGGCATTTATCATAATGAGACTGATGTCAATGTGACAAAATATATATATATATATATATATATATATATATATATATATATATATATACAACTTTTTGTCCCACCTAAAAAAGATGGGACAGGGAGTCGCTTTCAATCTATCGTATGTGCAAAAGACATAAATGCCCTCGTAACCTGATCATCGAAAAGAAACCCTAGAAACTAAGAGGAAATATATTACCTTGAAAACTTCAAATGGACAGAAATCAGTACCCCCACATCCCTGTGTATAAAAGATATATGGGTTTAAATGTTTGTTTATATAATCTTTTGCAACAAAGTGGTTTTTTAGACGAAATATGACAACCATGATTAAGGAGCTGTTTTTTTTTAAAAAAAAAAAAAAAAAAAAAAGCAGATTAATGAGCTTAATGGGTTAAGTACTTAATATGTACAGTTATATACGACTGTTTCTTTTTTACTTAATCCGGACAGAATGACTTAATGGTTTAGCCAAAAAAAGAACCTGGATCAAATATATTAAGACAGTATTAACCCTTTTACCTATTTGCACTTTTTTTTTTTTTCTCTCAACTCATCTCACATAAGAATTGTTAAGAAATTTGAAGATGATCCAAATATAGAAAAGATGAAGGAAAGACTTACAGCCATTGGGATTGGTTGTTCATTGTGTAAAACTTGCATGAAATATTTATTTGTGTTATTTCCGGAACAGCTGTATAAAACTAAAACATTATTCCCAGCAAAAGGAGCCACTGTGCTTCCCCTCCATGTTCTTTTCTCTGGGGGTTTTGGGGGGTATTTCAACGGCTCTTCTCTTTGTATTTGTTCAAACTCTGGATATAATAACAAATAATTAACTTAATTATATATATTTACAGATAAAATAACTAAGAAATACTCACCAGATCCTTCAAGAAAGAGTCCAATCAAACATGAAAAAGGAACCAATGTCTCTGCATGTGCAAACCTTAACGTTGCCTTTTCATAACTCCCTGGTGCATACCCTTCTATAAACAATAAATTAACAACAACATAAACTGTGTATTCATAATTCATAATTCATATATAAATAATAAATGATAGAATTTTCTAATTATTAGTAATTACCTTCTTTTGCTTTAATCGCGTGCTCCATGGACAATATTACATCTTGCAGCAATGGCACTCCCATTCGATAATTTAATGCATTTCCATAACCCTTTACTATGAACATTTCCAAATCATCTGTCCACTCTAATAAACTCACCTACATATGCAAAGTTTCATCAATTACTTTAGTGTATAGGATTTGACAAAAATAGCATCCTAATATAGTTTCTGCAAAATAACTAATTGTGTGAATATGAGTACAGATGTACCTCATCATTAGTGAAAAGACCACAAGCTTGATCAGTTATGTCTAACAATGATGCTTCCTGGAATTTAGTACAAGAAAAGATTTATTAATTAAATACAAAAAATGATTTCTACAGTTGAAAGTTGAAACCCATCACATGTTTATTACCTGCTTGCATAAAAACCAAAGTGTGGTGGTATCTTTCATTGTGAAATTAAGCCCATAACGTGCTGCTAATGAATGTGTTATCTCTTCTAATACAGGTTCTTTAAGCTTATGAACAGCAGGTTCCTGTTGTTTCCTATAAGCCTGCAACAAAAGGGAAGCAATTAGGAACAATCTTTAATTTTATTATGATCATATCATAATACAAAAAAGGTTAGTTATGTACCTTGTAGTTCTTACAACAATCATGAAATCTCAACATTATATCACTCGCACGACTTTCACTCAAAACTGCAAAAGCTCGATGCTTTCCTACTCCAAGTTCTCCTCTCCCACTAAACATGCCCATTCCAAATGAAACAGCACTAGCTGAAGCTCTGGGAATCTAAGTCATATTCAGAACAGATATAAAACTGTTATAACTTATAAGATATGGTAAAAAGAAAACCATGTTCAAGCTATAGGTTAAGGAAGGAAAACCTGGGATGCTCTAATCTGATATACATCATGGTGATATTCGTCACTAAACAAGTCTTGAAACCGTTCCCTGATTCTGATTCCAAGATTATACATTTCATCTTCTCCTTGACTTATTAGTTCTCCACCTTTGGTTTTCCCCTTCCATGGAGACCTCCATTCCCACAACCAGGAAGGAAGTTTTTCCAAAGATGCCCCTCTTTCTTTTGCATTTTTCAAAAGAGATTTCAGTTGAGCTGAAAAATTTTCCAGGTCTTTCATCCTTTTCTTGGTAGGTGCACGTGTCCCGTGCCTTGCCTGCAAAAGGATTCACACAATGTTTGTAAAGTGTAAGCAGATATGCATACAAAATGTTGAAAGATATATGAAGAAACAAGATATTGGAAATACCACAAGATTTAGGTGGATAGGAGAACATTGATCAGGGATGTTTGATGAAACAAACGGATTTTCTTTTATGTCTTTTGAAACGCCATATCTGCAGTCAAAACATAAATCACTTCATAAGTTACAAAGGGATTATTCAAAAACACACACAGTGCACTCACAATAAACACCATTAACACATATGAAGATAAACTAAGATGTAATGTGATTCTTGTGCATAGAAATCTCAACATATGAGACATTTGCCCCCTTGATCAACTAGTGAACGTAGATGCATCTAGTAGCTGGATATAAAATGTCACTCGCGCTAGGATATCTTTAATTCCTACTATGACTAACGAACCATTGAAATCCAATTTTATTTTCTTCGAATCAAATTCCGTCGGTTATTTCCAGTTTAATAAAACCCGAACTGTTCCAATAAGATGATTGCACTGATTGAATCTAAAATATCCGCAAGGAAGTAAGACCAAAACCTACCGACATTAAATTCCTCTTACATAAAAACACCGTATCTGTCGTATTACTTTTTGTACACTTGTTGATTTGCGAAACGAATCACACCTTTGAAGCTGAACAAATGAGAAACCTAGATCATGAGTGATGAAATCAGAGAAAGGGTAAAGAGTTTACCGTGTTACGGTAGCCAGGTGTTGACGAACGTCAAACGGTTGTTCAGCGGAGGAACTAAATTGAATACGATATAAAAACAGTAGTATGAGGCCTATCTTCGCCACCATCGCCATTGTCAGACACAGTCGAGATTCGCCGGAAAGAAGAAAGTTGAAGGCTGAGGAGAAACGAACAAACTGGACTTCTTTTTGGATTCTATCTATGCGTTAAAGGAAACTGACCCACCAAACCGACCTGGATGATGATGATAACCGTACAGTTAGATATTGACACGTGGAAATTCATTCTTCCTTCCGATCAAAATCTCGTGACATAAATAATATTATTAGTAAGTTAGACTTGTCCATAAAAAAATTTAAAACTAATCAATTATTTTTAGTAAATTCTATTATGAAATTAGTTTTTTTTTTTTCAATTAATACATTTTTACAAAATTTTTAAATAAAAAATTTCATGCTCTAATACATCTATCAAGTGTTAGGCTTTTATATGGTTGTTTGTCATAGAGATTAGGGCTTCTATGTTGACCCTTTGTTATGTTGACCCTTTGTTAATCAAACAAAGTTTTGATTATTTTGTCTTCTATCAAATTTTGGGATTGTAAGCATGTCAATTGATTAGGGTTTAATATGTGTCGTATTGCATTATGTCAAATTTGCTTTGTTCAAGTCATCAATATAATTTCCTCTTTCTCAAAAAGTTATCAATATAATTTAGTGTATTTTAGTGTCTTTTTTTCCTTGATTTAGAACAAATGGGATTATATACTTTGGGAGTGTGAATGAGAGTGAGAGATGTGTATATGTTATGTTGTTTGTTTTTTTTGTTTTGTCTTGAGTTGTTGTTTTCTATTAGTTTATATTGAAGATGTTCGGAGATGTAATGATGTAGTTGGTATCTTAGATAGTATTCTTTATAGCCAATATTGGGTTAAAACTCATAGACACTATAGATGAGAAAGAAAAAAACATTATAAATAAATAATAAGGTTATAATTGAACAATGATAAGAAAAAATTTATTAATTTATAAAGATAGATGTTTTCAAATATTCTGAAAAATAAATTATTATTAAAGACGTGAGCTTGAAATTTCGTTCCCTATCAAAATAATAAATGTAATTTAGGTTGGACATTGAAATGATTGTAATAGTTTGTATTATTGTTAAAGTAAATTTAATAACAAATATGGTCAAACAACCTGTTCGTCCATAACAATCATTTATATTGACACAATGGCATTATTTTTTTGAAAGTTCCATATCTTTGGTACCCGGACCTTAAGGTGTGTATCATAATTTATTTGTTCAATATCATTTAGGTACAACAATTTAGTTGTAGACATTTCCTAAAATGAAATGAAAGGAGTTATCAACAAAACAATAATGTACTTTCAAGTATATTTGATTGTTTGCCATTGTAAAAATTGGATTATTTTTCTTTTACAGAAATGGAGGTTTTGGTGAAGAGGGTAAAATTCGGAATAACATTTAATAATAATCCACTGGTATAATTAGAAACTAAAATAGCATTGTACTTATTTGTCTTTGACAATTTTAGCAACATATTAAAGTACAATTCTATACATTAAGAAAACATCACAAAAATGCTATACACCAATATAAGAAATGTAAACCAAATTTATGAAGAAGAGCAAATTCGAAATAACACTTAGGTGTTGTTTGTTTTTTAAGAGGTAAAACGTCTGCAGTCTGCGGACCACATCTGCAGGCATATGTAGAAGAAGAAATTAACCAAACGTCTACAGTCTGTTAGAAGAAGACTGTTTGTTTTTTAATGTCTGCAGGATGTTAAAAGAAACCAGAATTTAAATAAATCGTTTTTTTTAACTTAAAAGGATTTTTCATTTTCTCAATCACTATTTTCAATAATTGCAAATTCAAAACAACATTCATACATAAGTAAAAACAATTAATTGATTCGAACCGTTTTTAAATTACAAAAATGCTATGTCACTGTACAAAATGGTTTTGCAAAAAAAAAAAAAAAAAAAATATAAAATTAAAAACCAAACATATGTGAAGCTTTCATAATGAAGATACAAAAGTGCAAAAAGGTTGTTCCCTTCTTGTCATCTTCATTTTTTCTTTTTTTGAGCCTTGGATTTGTGAAGCTTTTCATGAGGATTCCCGCATACCCAATAAGCTTTTCATTTGTACTAATCTTTTGATGATGAAGTATGTACATAGCAACAACTAGAAATTAACAACACATGTTTTCTTATAACTTGAAAAGCAACTTCATCAAACTTGATACAACTAATATTTATGTCAAATAAGCATGAAATTCATCAGTTTTGTAATTAAAAATCAACAGTTTCAACATAATAGACAATTGATCATTTGAATCAAATAATTTGTCTTTAATTTTAAAAAGAACATTTCATTCTAGCATTTCTTCAAACATTTTCTATACATGTAAAAGTACAAACAAATTGAAATAGATTGATAAAATTGGAGTTAGAAGCCAACAAACACCTTCAATTAAATACCACGACTGACAATTAAGTTTTAATTGAGCAAATTTGGAGAAAACAACGGTCAAGTTTTATCTCACACATGAAGGAATGAAAGAAAAACAAAACTTTGGTTGAATCATTAAAGAACGAAATTAAACCAAGAAATTATTCATCCCTGTGATTGAATCATTCAAAAATAAAATTAAACAAAGAGAAAGGATTTTAGAAAGGATTTTGGAACCTAGCAGCAAGAAATATGAAGCAGGAAATTAGAAAGATACAACCCTAGCAGCCGATTTCAGACCTTAGCAGCAAGAAGATTGAGATGCTTACATGTGGGGAAAAGGAGAAGGAGAAGAGAAGTGTTACCTGAAGTCTACGGGGGGGGGGGGGGGGGGGAAGATCTGGACGGCGCAAGTTCCGGTCGTCGATGGTTGTAGATGGTACATGTTCTGGTCGTCGGCGAAAGGAAGAGGATGACGGAGACGGAAGAAAGGGTAGGAAGAAGACGATGAATGATGAAGGAGGGAGGTGGTGATAGTTGAGAACGAGGGAAGCGTCGATGTGTTGAGAGCGTATCTTTTTTTTTGGTTTTTAGGTTTTGAATAGGCGTGAAGAGGTGAGAAGACACAAGGCCAAGTCTGCACCAAGAAGACCATGCGCAGACGTTTTTATGTCTGCGAACTTCTAAAAAACAAACACACTGCAAAGCCCTATGTCTGAGCGTGGTCTGCACGGCGCAGACAGAACAGCTCACGCAGATCTGCAGATAAAAAACAAACAACACCTTAATAATAATCCATTAATATAACTGGAAATTGAAATAGCATTGTACTTATCTTTGACAATTTTAGCAACATATTAAAGTACAACGATATAAAATAAGAAAACCTCAGTAAAATGCTATACACCAATACAAGATCAATAAACCAAATTTATGAAAAATGGACAAATTCATAATAACACTTAATAATAATGCATTGATATAGCTAGAAACTGAAATAACATTGTACTTATTTATCTTTGACACTCTTATCAACATATTAAAGTACAATGTTATATAATAAATCAATTGTGTAAATTAGAAATGTTTATAAACAATGTAAACTAATTGTTATATTTTAGTAACAATTTTTGTAATGAATTTAAGAAAAGGAAAAAAGGATGGCATATTAATCACATAGATAAACATCAAATATGTAACAGTTAGTGTCATGTTTAATATGAATCTTTGAAAAATTGTAAAACTCACAATAAACAATCAATTGAATTAAATTGGTAATTGTTATATTTTAGCAACGTACTTTGATTGAATTTAGAAAAAGGAAAAAATTGGAAAATAATGACACACGGTAACATAGACAGACAAACATGTGGAATAAATGGAATTTTCACACATATATAAAAATTAAATGTAAAAACTCTAAAAAAATGATATAAGCAGTAAGTTTTATATATTTTAACCAATTGGTCCTTGTTTAATAAAGAAAACGAATGAACATAATTGGATTTTGTTTTATATAGAAAACGAATAAACATAAACATAAATGGTTACTGTTTATTTGTCACACCCCCGACCGAGGCAACGGAACATGTCGGGCTATGCGACTTAGTTCGTAGATCACAAGCAAATTGAATATACATCACAAGTACAACAATAAGAACACAAGAATTATATTCCACTTTAAAGTTTGAATACATGGTTCATACCAATAATAATAGTAAGTACTTGAATTTGCCTTAACAGGTAGGCAGATATAACAAAAAACTAGAGAAAAACTAGGTCGCACGAAGTCCATAAACATTTCTTCTGCTAAAAGCTGGTTCAATGATCTCCTCAGAATACATGTAGTTTGAGAGTCAACACAAAGGTTTGTGAAAGTTACAGGTTTTCTGCTAACTGCAGTAATGATACTTTTAAAAAGTCTGAAAAGTATTTCTCTTGTAGTTAAAACCATGTTTAAAAATGTTTGATAAAGAGAGAAACCATAAATAAATCTATACTTAAAATGTTTGATAAAGAGAGAAATCATAAGTAAATCCATACTTCAAATGTTTGATAAAGAGAGAATTCATAAGTAAATTCATACTTAAAATATTTGATAAAGAGAGAAATCATAAGTAAATCCATACTTCAAATGTTTGATAAAGAGAGAAATCACAAGTAAATCCATACTTAAAATTTTTGATAAAGAGAGAAATCGAATTCGTGGTTTCTAGATAAAGAGATCCACTTAATGTGTTAAAAATGTAAACAACAAATCTATTCACAACATCAACAGATCTTTTATTAAACGAAAATAAGATCCAGTTGGTTTTTTAAGATACTTACAACTGAAAACTCACTACATAAGCACTCACTCTCAGATGTATATAAAGAAACTAACAGATTTAAGATTTTACAGAACAAAATCAACAAGAATAGAACAACCCTAAACAGATCAAACCCTAATCTGAAGAAGAAGATGATGAGAGAACAGAGAGACTCGTGTGTGACAAAGAAAAAATGAACTGAATAAAAAACCAACCCTAGCTAACATGATGACACAAATATATGGTTGAACAATTTTCACAGATAGTCCTTAGACTATTCATTCCGACTCCGGTAACCTTGCTCTTTCTCCATACAAGTATAAAACTTCATACAACAATCGAATTTAGAGTAATTACTAGTTGCTCCTTAATCTTTATCCAACTTTAAAACAACTACATTCTGCACCAAACTTACA